AAGAAATTCTAAAACTGCCCAGATCTCTTGGAACCAGAGGGCAAAGTGGAAATAGAAAGAATCCACCAGTCACCTCCTGAAAGAAATCACAAAACAAAAACTCCCAGAAACATCATAACCAAAATCCAGAACTTTTACAGGTCAAAGAAAAATACCCTATAAACAGACGGAAAGAAACAATTCAAATATCAAGGAGTCAAAGTCAGGATCCCACATGATTTAGCAGTCACCAATTTAAGGAGTTGAGAACTTGGAATATAATGTTCCAGAAGACAAAGGACATGAGTTTACAGTCAAGAATAACTTACCCAGCAAAACTCATTATAATACTACAAGGGGGGAAAATGGATCTTTAATGAAACAGAGGGACTTCCAAGCATTCTTGATAAAAAGATCAGAGATGTGTAGAAACTTTAGACTTCAAACACAGGAGTTAAGAGAAATATAAAATGAAAAATATGAATGAACAATGATAATTGATTAAACAAAGATAAACTGCTTACATTCTAATATAAGGAGATATGTATCCTCTTTGAACCGTATCATTGAGAGACATAGCAGAAGTCAAATTAGACAAGGCTTGGAAGTGGTTTTGTTGTCTTAATGACCTTTTTAAAAATCACTGGGGGGCATTTTAACTTTCAATTTTTAAAAAAATCATTATTTATTTATTTTAAACATTTTCTCCTTTGCTTTCACTGCTCCCCCACTCACTGAGAAAGCAAGCAGTATAACTATTATACATTTGAAATTATGCAACACATATTTCCATATTGGCCAGATATTAAAAAAAGTCAGGAAAAAGAAAGTGAGAAAATTATACTTCAATTTGCACTCCGAGTTAATTAGTTAACACTTTTTCATCATGTCTTCTTTTGAATTGTCTTGGATCATTGTATTGATCAGAATATCCAAGTCTTTCACAGTTGGTCATCATTACAATGTTGTTATTGTGTTACAGTGATCTCCTAGTACTTTTCAGTTTACTTTGCATCAGTTCATACAGGTCTTTCCATGCTTTTTTTTTTCTGAAACCATCCCTACCTTGTTATTTCTTATGGAATAATAGTACTCCAACACAATCATATGTCATAACTTGTTCAGCCATTCCCCAATTGATGAATATCCCTTTGATTTCCAATTCTTTGCCACCACAAAAAGAGTTACTATAAATATTTTTGTACATGTAGGTCTCTTTGTTTTTTCTTTGATCTCTTTGGGACAGATCATTAGTGGCATTGCTGGGTCAAAGTGTATGCACAGTTTTATACCCCTTTGGGCTTAGTTCTAAAGAGTAATTTAGAGCTTTTTTTGTATGACTATAGATAACTTTGATTTCTTCTTTTGAAAACTGTGTGTTTATATCTTTTGACCATTGATCAGTTGGGGAATAGCTCTTATTTTTTTTTATTATCAATTTGACTCAATGTTATACTTAGTATATATTTGAGAAATGAGGTTTTTACCACAGTACTTGCTGTAAAAAATTTTTAATATTTACTTCATTGTCTATGATACCTTTTAGTAAAGTGTGCTTTCCCTGATTATCTCTTTTAATTAAGTTTATTTTTGCTTTTGCTTTTTCTGAGATCATGATTGCTGCCCCTGCCTTTTTTTTAGTTCAGCTGAAACATATTAGATTCTGGTCCAACCCTTTATATAACTCTGTGTGTTTGTTTCTATTTCAAGTGTGTATCTTGTAAATACCATATTGTTGCATTCTGATATCCTAATCCAGTCTGCTATCTGCTTCTGTTTTATTGGTGAGCTCATCCCATTCACAATCACGGCTATGATTACTCACTGCATATTTTCCTCCATCCCATTTTCTTCTGTTTTTTCTCCTCTTTTTTTTTTACCCTGTCCCTCCTTAAGAGTCTATTTTGCTTCTAACCATTGCTTCCCTTAATCTGCCTGCCCTTTATCATATCACTCCTCTTTCTCTTACCTCCTTCCCTTCTTATTTCCCCATTAGGTTACATTTCTATGCACAACTGAGTATACACACAGGCATATATTTATACGTATGTATATATGTATAAATATGATGTGTGAAATATGATGTCTAGGCTCTTTTCTTGATAATGGCTTTCAGTTAGTCTAGTAATTCTTAAATTATCTTTCCTTGGTCAATTTTCCAAGTCAGTTGTTTTACCAATAATATATTTCATATTTTGTTCTATTTTTTCATTCTTTTGACTTTTTAAAAATTGTTTCTTGATGTCTCATGAAGTCATTAGCTTCCACTTGCCAAATTCTAATTTTTAAGGAACTGTTTTCTTCATTGAGATGGTATACCTCTTTTTCCATTTGGCCAATTCTGCCTTTTAAGGAGTTCTTTTCTTATGCGAATTTTTGTGCCTCTTTTACCACTAGACCCATTCTATCTTTAAGGTATTATTTTCTTCAATACTTTTTTTATGTCTCATTTACCAAGCTGTTAATTCTCTTTTCCTAAATTTCTTGCATCACTCTCTTTTCTTTCCCCAATTTTTCCTCTACCACTCTTATCTCTTTCTTTAATTCTTCCAGGAATTCTCCTTGGGCTTGGGTTGAATTAGCATTTTTGAGACTTTGTAGCTGTTTTCACGTTGTTGTCTTCTTATACGTTTCTGTCTTGGTCATCTCTGCCACCATAGTAGCTTTTTATGGTTAACTTCTTGTTTTGGTTGTTTGCTCATTTTCCCAGCCTATTCTTGACTTTGCACTTCATGTTAAAGTTGGATTCTGCCCCTGTGGGGATAAGCAGGCAATCTCCCAAGCTTTTGGCTTTTTTGTGCTGCTGTTTTCAGAGATAGTTCTTGGGGTCTGAAAGTTTTGGATGCTTCCATGGTGGTGTGATCCTGGGAGAGGGTATGGTCATTGCTCTCCTGGTGTACACTCTGGTATTTACCCAGGAAAAGCCCATGGTTCTCCCCAGTCACAAGCAATAGCACTCTCTTTGCCTTGGAATTGAGACCAAGGCCCATGTTCCCTTGTGACCAACCACCAGCACTCCTCTCTGCCCCAGAATTGTGACTCAGAACTGTGTATGGGCCACAGTTGCCAATCAGTGCCAGCTGAACTCAGTGTAATTTCTTTCTGACCAGTTGTCTGACCCCCTTACCATCTCTGGGCTGAGAGCTCCCAAAGCTGCTGCTGCTGTAGTCTCTATTGCTGCCACTGCCTGTGTGGGCTCTAGACAGGCTTCCACCTCATGCTACAAACATCTGCTGACCTCCTACATTTTTTTAGGCCAGAAAAATGTCTCACCCTGACCTTTTGTTGTCTCTGCTGCTCTAAAATTTGGTTTGAGGCATTATTTAAAGTTTTTTGAAGAGGAATGTTGAGAGTGATCAGCTAGGTTGCCACAAATCCTCCATCTCGGTTTTGTCCATCCTTTTGATGACTTTAAGAGAAGAATGGAAAGAAATGGGAAGAAGAATATACCAGGGGGAGGGAAAGGGAAAGGTAAGGGAAGGTTTGGGAAAATTGTCTATAAATATATGTGTGTGTGTGTGTGTGTATAATTTGGGCACACAAGTACACATCTATACAAAAAAGGAGGAGGCAGTGGGGGAACGAGTGCCACCGAAACCTCACTCTCATCTGAAATGGCTAAAGGAAGAAAGAACACATACAGAGTTGGGTAAAGAAATACATTTCATTCAAAAAGGAATTGAGAGGGAAAGAGAAGAAGGGCAGAAGGGGCATTAAAGAAAATGGATTAAGGAGAGGTGGGGGGTAGGGGGAGAAGGCAGATTTTTGCTGATTGAAAGAAAAAAATATTTTTAAAGAGAATGAAATGAGATTTTAGGAGGCAGCTAGGTGTTTTAGTGTGTTGAATGCTTGACTTGGAGTCAGAATGATGTGAGCTCCAATCCTACCTTAGATTCTTTCTCTCTCTGCACATGTTGCTTAACATCTCATCTATAAAACAGGAATAATAATAATAGCATCTATTTCATGGAGTTCTTGTAATATACATAGCACATGCTAAACACTTTGAAAATCTTAAAGGACTACATGAATATTAGCTATTACATGATGTAATATATACTAACTTTACATAAAGTACTTAAAACAAAATGCTACTACTACTACTATTATTTGATATTAACAGTTAATAAAGTAAATGAAATAAATATTAAACAGTTAATAAATAAAGTTTCCTTTATGGTTTGGTTGTTTTTTCAGTCATGTCCAGCTCTTCCTGACCCTGTTTGGGGTTTTCTTGGCAAACACACAGGAGTGGTTTGCCATTTCCTTCTCCAGCTCATTTTACAGATGAGGAACAGAGACAAACAGGATTAAGTGACTTACACAGGATCACACAGCTGGTAATCATCTGAGGCCAGATTTGAACTCATGATAACCAGTCTTGGTGACTCTAGGCCCAGCACTCTACAACATTGAGTTAGTTGGGCAGAGCTTTCCTTCCTTTCAGTTTATTCCCCTCAAGTGTATTCCTTTTTCCTATTTCTTTCCATTCTTCTCTCAATATCATCAAGAACCACTCCCTAGCCTTGTCTAATTAGACTCTGTGACCCTGCTGTTGATGGGTTCAGAGGGGACTATATTAGAATGTAAGCAGTTTATCTTTGTTTAATCAATTATCATTGTTCATTCAAGTTTACTATTTTATATTTCTCTTAATTTCTGTGTTTGAATTCTAAAGTTTCTACACATCTCTGATCTTTTCATCAGGAATGCTTGGAAGTCTTCTGTTTTGTTAAAGATCCATTTCTCTCCTTCCTGCCCCCCAGCCCTGCTGCATTACTCCCCTCAGGGTGACTTTTGTATGTAGACCACCAGGAAGCTATAGCAATAGTTGAAGCCTTAGCCCTCTCGAGCAATTGGGTTTTGAGAATGTTTTCAGTCCCTTTAAAGAAAACTAGCCTAGCCTCCATGGTTAGATGTTGGTTTTATAACACATTCTAATGTCATCCTTTGGGATTTTTCAGAAAGTCACAATATATATAAGGAGAATATAATCATAACTAATCACTTTTTTTTTTCAGGGGAAAAAGGAGCATGACCTACGTCCATTCTAGCTCTCACACTCTACGATCTTATGAAATAATTCTTGTAAACTCCTATGGACCTGTGGACTCAACAACGTGGAAACTTCTTCCAGTGATACAGATCTCAACCTATTCTGATGGGCTTGCCTATGTTATTTCATGGCAATCCATGAAATAACATACACTATATTCAAGATAATGGGCTATTTAAATATGTATCATTATTTTCCTCCTGGATTTTCCTTGTTATTTCAGATTAGGTATTACTTTCTTTTTTTGGTTAGGAGTTAAAGAAACAAACAAAATGAATAGAAAAAAATTCACAGAAAAAGTAAAATGTCTGTCATTAATGTAATGTGATGATATAGTACGGTAGATGGAGCACTGAGCCTGGAGTTAGGAACGCCTAAGTTCAAATCCAGCCTTAATTAGTAACTGTGTGACCCTGGGCAAATCATTTAGTCTCTATCTGTTTCTATTTCTTCATCTGTAAAATGGGGATAATAGTAGCACCCACCTCTCAGAGTGATTGTGAAGATCAAAGGACATTATTTACCAATAATGTTTGTAAAACATAGCACACTGTCAGGTACATAGTAGCCTCTTTTACATAAATGTTAGCCATTATTATTATTTTTATTAGTGCTCTGCATTCCCTTCTAGTTCAAGTTAACACTGAAATCCAGAATTCCGGGATTGATGGTCAAAAGAGAAATAAACTCAAAATCTCAGTCTCTTTCTCTCTCTCTTTCTCTCTCAACAATGACAACAACAATCTGGATGATATATTTCATTTCTGCTTATTTACTGACCAATCAAGTTTTTATGACCTCCATTTCATATAAAACCAAGAACATTTATTGACTTAGTACATGAGACTATTTCAAGAAGAAGCAGGTGCCTTTTCTAACATGAACAAATGAATTATTTTAGATCAGAAAGCAGATGAGGTTAAATTACTTCATTATTTACTTATTGGAAGAAATGAATCTCTGGGATGTACCCTATTGACCAAACTGGCACCAGCCTATATCTAACAGCAGCAAAGGCAATTACAACACCAAAATAAATAACTGTTCATACCTTGAGAAGACATAGCCACTAACCATTTCCCTTTCAGCATTAAGGGTATCAAGCAACTATGCAAAACATGCCTCAAGGCTAATGGCCATCTTTTTTGAATAATTCACAATAATGGGATGTTGAATTCTGATTTTTGTACTATGCCTTTGCAAAATTTCCTCACCATATTCTGTTATCAAGGCTGTGCGTTAGCACCCATCTCCAGCTAATGTGATGACAAATACCTTTTTATCTTGGCACTGACAATAGGGAGATAGGTAAACTTCTCCATCACCAGAAATAATTGGGTGGCACTAAGGAGTTGGGCATTTAACTTATTTCCCTGCATCTCGTTATTGGGGAGCAATATAATGGGGTGTGAAAATGATGTGCCATATTTCAGGGGCAATTGGAGATAATGACAACACCCTGACCTCTACCTTATGTAAGAATCTCATTCCTTCCATTTTTGTCCTTTAGTTTCCATCATATCAAGCTTAGCCTTGTGAAAATTTTAAATTAACAGCAATCATGATTTATATGCAAAAAAATGATGCCCTACTTTATCTTCTTCCCCTGGCTATGAAATATAGGTACTTCTAATAACACAAAGATAAAAGTGGTCTGGATCCCAAAGTATATCTTTTTTAGAATATGCGCATTAAAACTATGATTGTTGATAATCGAGGAATAATCTAAGGTCTAAACAAGAGCAAGAAAAAGAGGACTTGAATGGGACCAAAATTACTTTAAATATTTATTTAAAGGTTCATATTTTTCTAAAAATGCTTAATTTTGGTCAAATGAAAATGTTCTATGTAAATACTATACCTTGGTAAGGAATGAAATGATCAAATGTACAAAGATTACATATGATATGAGTGATTTTAAAAATAAAATATGCTTTAATTTATGTATTTAAGTGAGCATTATCCCTGTTACAGTAAGAATAGTGAGTAAAGGGGGGCATTATATGCATATTTCAAGCATATTGCTATTGCTCAAAATATTTATGAAAATCACTTTTTGGAATAGCCTTTAGAATCCATAGCATATTCTTGTTCTATTTTTAAAAATTGATACTTTTGTTTTTACATCACATTGATTTCCAAATATGTGCCTTCCTGATAAGATAGTGCTTGGTAACAAAGAATTTTTTTTGAAGAGAAAAAGCAATTTAGCAAAACAAACCAATAAATCAATGGAGCCTGACCGTATAAGCCATGTTCCACACCCACAGTTCCCCACTTGTTGTTATTGTTGTTGTGGTCCTTTGTTCTCAGAAAGGACCGATAATATCAGAAGGATGATGTCCTAACTTGCCCCTTAACTGGATTTAAGTGAGGCACAGTTGTACAAAGTTGTCAGCTTTACTACCTCCTCCAGAGTCAGTGAAGTCCAGTGGCAAGACAGAAGTGAAGATGACTGATGATGGGCCAGAATGTAGTGGGTGACCTTGGCCTTTCTGCAGATAAAGGAAAGTGGTACATTTTCTCATCTATTCTTCTAGGCCAAGCTTTGTCATTATAGTCCCATAGTGGTCAGTTTATTTTGTTTTTCTTCTTTTCGTGTATGTTATTGTGGTCATTATGAATATGGTTTCCCAAGTTCTGTTTATGTAGGACTTTCTTCTGAATATTCTTTAGTAGCAAGGGATAGCTTGAGAGTCATGACTGTGTGTTCAGAGACTTGGGCTCTGGACTAATTCTTTTCCTATTTAACAGTCTGAACTGAACACGTCTTTTAATTTCTCTGGGCCTCAGGATTCTCAGGTGCAAAATGAGGAGTAGAAAGAAGTAGAAGAAGACTTCTTGGATAAATTCTCTAAGAAGAATCCATAGATTAGCATGGAGAAGATGAGAAGGCATTTATAGATTAGAATTTAGACTGGAGGAGGGGACACATTAGTGAGATCATAGCCCACTTCTGACAAGTGGCTACCCAGCCTTTTCTTGGAGGCTTACAGTGAGGGGAAGCCCACTGGCAGCAGAGGCAGCCCATTTCACTTTTGGAACGCTTTCTTTGCTGGCAAGTTTCCTTATATAAAACTTCAGTTTGGCTTATATCCAACTTCAGTTTGGCTTATATCCGTTGCTCCTATTTCTTGCTTCTGGGCATGAGCAGAACAAGTCAGGCTTCACTTCCTATCACCTGCATGGAAATCTATGAATATGAGGGTGAAAGCAAGATGAGATGAATTTTGATGGATAGAAAAGAGGAGAAAAGCAGAGATATATCATCATGAGACTATTGAAGAGATTCTTTAGGTAGGGGTTGGCTGTGAATAATATTTCCCTGATACAGGTCACAGAAATAGCAGAGATGGTATATAGTAAGGATAGGACTCTTCAACTATCCAAAAAATGCATTGAACATCTCATTCTACTAAAGGCAGAACATCTGATACATTCTTATTTACCTTACTGAGAATTTAATCTTTTAGAAGACAGAGGAAGCAGTGAGGGAAAAGAGGATAATGCTGCTATTTACTCTATAATAATTTATATTTGCATAACATTTCAAAATTTACAGTGAAGTTTCCCCATTATAACACTGTGGGGTAGGTCATCTTTCCTTGATGCTTACATAATGATTAAGTTTTACTGATCCACACAGCATTTTTTAAAAAAACTTTTATATAGCATGTGTTATGTGCCAGGTACTATAATAAATGATTTGCAATTACAACAGCCCTGGAAGGAAGGTGCTTTTATTATCTCCATTTTATAGATAAGAAAATTGAGGCAAAAAGAGGTTAGGTGACTTACCCAGGGTCACACAGCAAGTAAGTGTCAAAAGTTGGATTTGAATTCAGGACTTCCTGATTCTAGGTCTAGCACCCTATCCTGGGGCCATCAAGCTGCCCTTTGGAAGCAATAAATCTAAGACCACAGAACACACTGACCAGGGATGGACTCCAGGCTGCTTTCCTCCAAAGCCTAGTTTTCTAAGTACCAAGGTCTACACTGACACCCTCCTAGGAGCATCCATGACATGGAGCCCTAGCTACTTTTTTTTTTTGACAATCATTTTTGATAAAATTTTGAGTTCCAAATTTTTTTCCCTCCCTCCATAAGACCATATAAGTTATGTATCTGCATTTTGATATAGATTATATATCCACAAAGATCCTTATTTCATAAGGATTTATTTCATATAAATTTATTTATTTCATATAAACTTATTTCATATAAACTTAGAAAACCGACCCCTATTTTCCTTCTTGCACACCTAGGTGGCGCAGTAGATAGAGCAGTGGGCTTGGAATCAGGAAGACTTATTTTCATGAGTTTAAATCCAGCCTCGGACATTTACTAGCTGTGTGATCCTGGGCAAGTCACTTAACCCTGTTTGCCTCAGTTCCCATCCATAAAATGAGCTGGAGAAGGAAATGGCAAACCACTCCAGAATCTTTGCCAAGAAATACCCCCTCCCCCCAAAATGATGATGTCACAAAGAGTCAGACATGACTGAAATGTTTGGTAGAGAATTTAAGCATTTGATTAATTCATAGAATGTCTGAGAACTTGTAAACACCAAACTGGGAGAGTGTTGTAATAGAGTAAATAATAAGGAGCTGAAATGGGATGACAGAAATGCAAATGTGAAGGAAGAGATGGATAACAGTGATATTCCCAAAGAAGAATTGCCAGTATTTAGTGAGTAATTGAATGCGGGTGGTTAAAGAACAGGAGGAATCTCATGATTCTCACACCTTGAGACTGAATGACTAGGGAAAAAATTGTACTCATTATAAGAAGACAAACCAGGAAGAAGAGATAGTTTTTATTTTTATTTTATTTTTATTTTTGGGTGGAAAATAGAAAGTAGATGTGTGAGAAAGTACTAGAGACGAAGTAAAAATATTTTTTCACTTAAAGTTCTTTTTAAAATATCTGGACATATGATTTCATCAATGTAGGGAATTCACATTCATAAACTTCCCTCTGCCAAGGCAGGTTATATAGATTAGAGAGCTGACAGAGCCACTGAGAAGGGACTTGCCCAGGTTGGCCATTAAATGTTGAAGATAGATCTTGAACCTGAGTTTTGTTATTGTTGTTGTTATTGTTTTCTCTTGAAGCAGCAGCTGGCTCATTATCTACTTTAGTATTCCATCCCTCCATTTTCAAGTGACTTTTGGGAAATTATTTTCATCTGGAACTTGGCCAGTTGCTAACTTTGACAATTTTTCATATATTTTTGATTATTTCGTTCTGTGATTGACACAATTTCACAAAGCTAATTATATTCTTAATTTAATGCTTTTATAATCAATTTCACTATGCTTATTGGAAAAGTGTGTGGGTGAGAGAGAGATAGGATTTATAACTGGCTAAAAGCTAGTTTTCAGGGTTGACTTGCTTTCTTTTTAAGCTTCAGGCTTGG